GTATATAATAATATATATATATATATATATTGTCACTTTTCAAATAATCTAAGAATGATTGCCCCACAACCAATTATAATTTTCGTAAATAACACCTGGGCTGAAGAGTCCAGGGCCTAGGAAAAAAAGTGCGTTTTTTTTGTTCAAAATTGGCTTCATTCATCAACTTAATCTCCACCAAGAGCCACAAAATCATTCCAGCACCGCTCTAACATTTCAATACCACTTTTGTAGAAAGACTTACCTTTTGCGTCAAAATAGGCCTCCGTTTCAGCAATAACCTCTTCATTCAAGCAAATTTTTTTATCCTTGAGCATTTTTTTGAGGTTTGCGAACAGCCAGTAGTTGCTGGGAGCTAAATCTGGCGAATACGGTATGTGCGGGAGCGATTGGAAGCTCATTTCATGCAATATTGCCATCGTTTTCATTGATTTGTGATATTGTGGATTATCTTGATGAAGCAGCACTTTCTTTTTTTCAAATGGAGTCGTTTTTTTGCAATTTTGTCTTTCAAACGCTCCAAACAAAGGTGTTTCTCAGAGAAATTAATCTCAAGTGTAGCCGCCAATATCGTAAAATCTGCCTAACTCTGAATTGGTGAACTTTAGAAATTTTCCCTCTTCTGGTTCTTCATTATTTTCAACTCCTGTTACATGTGATGAAGTACAAAAAATCATTACATCTTTGAAAAATTCAGCTTGTCCGGATATCAATGGAATAAATAGTCGAATTATTAAGGAAACTCAGGATATTAATCTTGTTCCATTTACCAATTTGATAAATCTAATCTTTATATCAGGTAATTTTCCTAACATCTTCAAATATTCAAAAGTGATACTTCTCCACAAGAAAGGTAACAAAGAGATTGTCGATAACTACAGGCCTATTTCTATTATAAGTATCTTTTCAAAAATCATTGAAAAATTAATTTTTTTGCAGTTATCAATTTGGTTTTAGTGAAAACTGCTCTACCACCGATGCTACTATGAGTGTTGTCAGAGGCATAGTTGAGGGACTTGAGACCGGGAAGGTTGTGGGGGTCACACTATTGGACCTGTCAAAGGCCTTTGACTGTGTTTCCCACAGCATTTTACTCGAAAAACTGTCATTTTATGGTGTAAGAGGTACTCCTTTGGGTTTGATTGAAACTTACCTGAATAATCGTTTCTAGAGAGTTTTTTTATAACAATACATTTTCTGAGCTGAGGCCGATTGACCTAGGTGTACCGAAGGGATCGGTTTTGGGCCCGCTTTTGTTCGTTATTTACATCAATGATTTTTAAAACTATATGAAGCCATGTCGCAGTGTACTATTTGCTGACGATACATCCTTGATATTCTTCTATGAATTATTCAGCTCTTGTTGATAAGTTTGTGGAAATACAAGAAAAAGCGGAGCACTGGTTCAGTGTCAATAAACTCGTGATGATTAAGGAAAAATCACAAAACATGATTGTTTTTATGGCTCTGCCATTACCTGAATTCCAGTGTGTCAAATTATTGGGTTTTACTCTGGACAATAGGCTAAATTGGTCAAGCCACATTTCAAGTTTGAAAAGTAAGCTATCAAGTGCCTTATTTTTACTTAGACAGCTGAAACCAATAACAAATTTCACTACGTTGAAAATAGTATATTGCTCGCTCATACAGTCTAGGTTTTAGGGATTCTTGCCGTGAATCATTCATCACTCATGAAATGATATCGGTGCCTTCTTTGTATGTTTACCCAAGCCTATTAGATATTTACAAAAGGGCCCCCTTCTTTCACAAGCAATCCAGTTTACACAATCATGATACACGTAACAGCAATTTCATTAGACATTAACGTTTCAGGCCTACGATTTTAAATTATATAATGTACTTCCTGCCAATATTAAAAATATGAATGTTTTGTTTTAAAAAATATTAAAAAAAAACTTTTTTTATCCACTTGAGAACATTTAGAACATGTGTGTATTCACACTTTTGACGCAAGAAAGATGCTTGCCGAATCTCCACACTTAATTTGAATATGTTATAATGTACCCTGTAAACTTGTAACAATTTTTTACTGTTTATTTTATTTTATAGAAAACTTTGTACCTTGCACCTATTTGTTTTTCTTACTTGTCATAAATGTATTTTATACATAACATGATCGGTGTCTCTACGACCACATTTGGAGTCGGCAAACCAACATTTAATTGTTGTTTCTGATGGAGCAGAGTTCTTATAACACTTTTCAAGCCATTGCTTCGCTTAGACTGTATTTTTTCACATCAAGAAGCAGTGTAAAATTAAAACACGAAATTGTTTTTGAACCATAGTTTTGGAAATAACAGAAGTAGTGCCTTTCTTAGCACAATAACTCATAAGTAGAATATCATGAAATTTCAACAGCTTTCTTTTGAAGGTTAGTACTAACTGAGAAAGCGGTGAATGCAATAAGACTAGCAACATCTATGTGTTAGGCCTGACATTTTTTAGCCCATGTAGTACACTACAGAAATTAATCACCCAACTTCTAATGATGAGAATCTTAACTTGAACTTTTTATCAGATATTTTATAATCATCCTACTTTAGAAAACTATTGGTAAACATATTGAGTTTCAATGATTCACATTGTAATTTAAATATTTAAAGATTAAAATTAAGAAAGAAACACATTGTCTCACTCTGAAGTGTCTTAAAAAATATTTTTCAGGTATTCAAAATGTCAAGAGTACATTAAACAAATGGCAGAGGGAAAATTGCAAACCCAACCAGGATGCACAATAGAAGAATCTTTAGAAGCTTTGATTCTAAAAGAACTCTCTATTATAAGGGAACATGCAGGACAAGCTTGTGTTGCTGACCTAGATCCTACAAATAGTCCTCTTATTATGGCTCTTTGTGGTTCTAAAGGTAAAATAATTAAATACATTCACAAATATCTCTTCTATAAGAAACTGTTCTTTAAGGTTCTTTCATCAATATCTCTCAGATGGTAGCTTGTGTAGGTCAACAAGCTCTCAATGGGAAACGGGTTCCTGATGGATTCAATCATCGATCTCTGCCACATTTTAAACATCACTGTAAGTAAAATTGAAAACTGGTTGCAAAACTTTATTCTGAAAATTATTTTTTATCCAGCAAAAGCTCCAGAGGCTAAAGGGTTTGTTGAGAACAGTTTTTATTCAGGGTTAACTCCAACCGAATTTTTTTTCCATACAATGGGCGGCAGGGAAGGTTTAGTTGATACGGCAGTTAAAACGGCAGAGACTGGTTACATGCAAAGAAGATTAGTGAAGGTAAGGATTTGAAATAAGAAGTATACTATATTTGAAAATATTCAAGCGATAATGAACCAAAAGAGTAATTGTAATAAATATTAAAATGGTCCCCCAAACATTTTGAATATAAGTTTATTGCTTATAATATTGAAAATTTACAAGAACAGTGACATAAAATGTAAAGTCCTCTATCTCCAATCCATGAAGAAAGTTTCTGTTATTACCTGAAGGAAGTTCTTTTGGAGATATCAGGGATGGAAGTTTTGCCTCCTAGAAATTTTTAGATCAATCCAGAACAATGGAGTGTTTCACTTACTCTTGTTTTTAGTTGAAACAAAACTTACTTTATAAACAATTGATGGACGTGTATCATTTGCAACCCATATGTTTGGGGAGATCATTGTTGTAATATTGCCCTAGACTACCCTCATTCAATTTGTGTTTTCTCACTTTTAAAGAAACTTCTGAAAGTATAAATTTCACCAGCATTTTGCAGCAATACCAAAAGCAAGATTCACTAGAGTCTTGATAATTACTCTTTTGGTAGATTGATGGTGGTTAGATTCATGATTCAGATACTGTCCCGTACGAGTGGGTTTTCGGTATACAGATGTTNGTTTAATAGGTATTGCATGATTGGTGGGCAGGGTCAAAAAGGGATTATTATAATGACATGGCACCTCGGAACTAAGTGTTAACCCTTTTTTGAGAAATCATGCTCAAGTATATGAACCCAAATTGCATATTAAATAAGTTTACAAGAACCACTAAAATTAATCTTAATCTTTTTTTAAGAAATTTTACTTACCTAAATACATGTAGGTACTTAGTTTTAGACCAAATTACTTCCCAAAAATGGCCTTTTATTATTATCTATGTCTGTAATTTTTAATTTACTTTAATTATTAAGTTTAATAATCCTAAGATTTGCCTACGCCCATGGACGACAACGAAATTCAGGCAAATTTTATGACACTTCATGATTTATTACTCTACACTCTTTTGAAATAGACTATAGAGAGCTTTATATTTTTTAATTGTTAAATTAATGGGCTAATTATTAGAAATAGGCATACATTTTGTTCTTTAGATACGATATTATTTGACTACTTTTATTTCTTCATCAGTCCCTGGAAGATTTGGTGGTACACTATGATGGATCTGTAAGAAATGCAGAAGGAGATGTTGTACAATTAACCTATGGCTGTGATGGTTTAGATCCTACTTATATGGAAGGTATTATATTTGATTTCTATATTGGGTTAATATTTGGTAATTGTGTCATAAAATTGGGCAAGATTATGAAACAGTTATAGTTATAAGCTAAAATAATTTGTTTGCAGAATGTAGTTAAGTTATTTTCCCTCATTTTTTCTACTATCAGTCAAAATTATAAAAATAAGTGTTATTTAAAACGAACTGATTTTGAAATTGTTATTTAAAGGAAGAACTGCAGATTAACTCTTACATTTTTAACACATGAATAAAATTTAATAAACAGGTTCTTAAAAAAATATTTTCAAAAATTAAAAACTCTTTTGACAAAAACATCTAAATTTCGATTGATTTTAAGTTCAAATTGTTATTCAGGTATGATATTATTAGGTTTTCATCAAAATCTTGAAAACATATTATTTCTTATCTATATATAAGTAACTCAAATAATATGAATTCAGGTAAGGACTGTCCAGTGGATTTCGAAAGAGTTTTGGAATATGTTAGGGCTAGGTATCCATACCGAGAAGAAGTCGCTCTTGATGGAGACCAAATTCGAAGGGCAACTCAAGCATTTTTGGCCACAGAAGCGTTAAATGAATGCAGCGAGCATTTTAGGAATGAATTAGTGTGAGTTTTCAGATTTATTTTTTCTAAGTGAGCTTCAGAAAGTATAAAAGTATAACTTATATTTTCTGAAAAGAAAGAACTTTTAGTCTTTCGAGAAAAAAAGAATTTCAGATTTCTGAAAGAAATATCTGTGTGTATATTTTTTAAGCGTTTTCATTGATGATCTTTCTTTCTCTTCTTATTGATTCCCATGTAAAATTCCTACAGTTGAACATGAAAAGATGTTTTTTTTTTTGAAATTTACCTAATGTACAATAATGGAAAAAAGTGATAAACTATTCATGTAAACAAAACTCATTACTGCTGAATGTTTATGAATTAGAGCAAAAATTAGTAATTATATTTTTGTAAAGTACAATCATTCTGCATATTTTGATGAAGGCAATTATCAGATAAAAATTCGAATTCCTAGTCTGTAAAATTCCACTCCTTGAAGTTCTTTCGGTTTATAAACTTCCATTATTTGAAAAACAAATATAACAAGATTACTTTGTAATCTAAAAAAGTGTAATAAAGGCGAACAGGAGAGTTATCGACAATTTATATTATTACCATGTTATATAAATAGTCTAATCGATAACTTATCATAGTTATTTATATTCCTAAAAAACAAAGATAACTTTAATAGTTCCTTTATATTCAGACAGACTTCCAATGTCTAAAAAGGTATCCACGAAAAATATAAAAATCAATTCAATACCACCTCAACTTATAGTACACGTCAGTCTTACTTCATTTCCCGTCCAACACCTACCCTAGCCCTTACACAAAATTCTATTTATCACCTTCCCATTAATTTAAGGCGAATATATAATGAAAAAAAAATCAGAAAGAAAGAAAAAGAATTCCTTGTTGGGAGGCCATATTATTGTGTGGATGAATTCTACCAAGGCTCTATCGAGTAATTTGCATGTAGCTTTGTGTAAACAAGTTATTGAAATCAACACGAAATGGCTATCAATGTTCATTACGTAGCACTATATATTTACATTTACTTAATATTCATATATTCATGTACTTATATTTGTATCTGTTCAGCTGGGCTTAATATTGTTCTGTCCATATACTCTGCTCTTGTCTCTAAGCATTATTTTATTGTGTATATTTGTTAATTGTCTCATATAGACGTTTTACTTTACTAGACTTTGCCCATAAGAATATTTTGATTTAATTAACAGGTTTGTTTTATAAAAACAATTACCCCTCAAGCATATATCACCCCCCCATATTAGAGAATTGCAACTTTTGAAGTTGGATGAAACGCATTTTGTTCAGTACACTTGTCGTCTTGTCTACAAGATCTTGGTTACTGGACTACCCAAGTACCTTGCCTCAAAAAGAGTTCGAAGGGAGAACATTCATATCAAATCACTTGAGGAACATGAATTATAGATTTTCTTTTCCTGTCCATCGTTCTTCATTTTCAAAGAATCATTTTCAAGGAATCATTTTTTTACTTTGTGCATTATCTGCTAAATAATATGCCCTTAGTATATAATAATTTATCTGCACCTACTCTGAACAGAACTCTCAAAGAGGCTATCCTGAATGGGCAGATGAATTCAATAAATTTTATCAAATTTTCTGTGAGTTATGAATAATTTTACCTATTTACCAAACAAGAAACGGTCACATAATTGGCGCTTTTTTCACTAGTCATGGAAAAAATTTGTAATGTATGTAAATTTACATTCTTATATTTTTGAATTTCATACTCTTGGTTTATATTTGTTGTTTTATTTTTAGTACTTTTGATATTTAATGTTTTCTCTCCCATAGATTTTCAATCAGTTAACAGCTTTTTAGATAATGGAAGTCTTAACCTAAAAAATAACTTGTTCTACATGACGGTTATTTTCATTATATTATTATGACTACATTATATTTATTATTATATTATCTACAATTTTAGTCAGTACATGAACACAGTAGCTAACAAAGTAGACTCAGTACGAAAAAGACTTGGCTGTAGCCCATTTGCGAAAGAAATAGAACGTCTAACTTGCAGTCAACTTGTCACCTTTTTTGAAACTTGTGGTCAAAAGTATACCAGATCCATAATTGAACCTGGAACAGCCGTAGGAGCCCTCGCTGCACAGAGTATTGGAGAACCAGGTACTCAGATGACATTGAAGACGTTTCATTTTGCTGGTGTAGCTAGTATGAATATTACCCAGGGTGTTCCTAGGTGAGTAATAGTTGGTGGATTTCCCAAGTACTAGAAGTTGAAGAACAACAAAGCGTTTATCAGTGTTATAATTTTTATTTTCACATCAGTCATTTGAATATTTCAGGATAAAAGAAATTATAAATGTGAGTAAAAAGATAAGTACACCAATTATCAGAGCAAGTTTGGTAAACAGTGTTGATCCTGAGTTTGCCAGAGAAGTAAAAGGTCGGATTGAACGGACTACTTTGGGAGAGGTAGGTTTGCTATTTCGAACTATGTTTTATTCATAGACATTAATGAACTCATGATCATATTCTGATATTCTGAGCTTTTTTTAGATTTCCACCAGTATTTCTCAAGTTTTGACGAAAACAGACGCCTTTTTGTTGATTCAACTCGATTATGAAAGAATCAAGCTACTAAAACTAGAAGTGAATGCCGAATCCATTCGATATTGGTAATAACCAATAAGATTTCATGAGGAACATCTAACTACTTTTTTTTTTTCAGCATTTGCACCTCTAAACTCAAATTAAAACCCACAGATGTTCAAGTCGAGAGTGATACCATCATAACTGTCCATCCAAGTAGAAGTAAACATTCGAACAGACTCAACTTTGCACTGTGTGATCTGAAAGAACAAATACCAAATGTTGTGGTGAAGGTAATTATAAATATTTTGAATCAGTATTATACTTCAAATTTGATTTCTTCTTTATGAAATCATGTTCTAGGGTTTGCCAACAGTCAACAGGGCTGTAATAGCAAGAGAAGATAAAGGCGGCAAAACTTCTTACAGTCTCTGCGTTGAAGGTGATAATTTACGAGAAGTCATGGCAACTTATGGAGTAGATGGGAGAAAAACAGTTTCAAACAATATAGTAGAAGTTTTTAACACATTGGGAATTGAAGCAGCAAGGTAGTGAGACAATAGTAGATGGATATGGGGCCAAAAAATTTGATTTATCGCTTTCATGACATAGTCATAGAGATTCTGGTTAATTCTGAAACACCTTAAATTATTAGGTTTATATTACTTTCATATTTGATCCGACTCATCTGAATACTTTAGTACTAATATTTTTTAATACTTTATTAAATATCAAATATTTGAGAATGATTGATATACATCCATTAAAAACACTTTTTTACACCAGAAAAAATTTTACTGTCTCCCGACACTTGTTGCACTAACCAAGTTAGCATCATCAGTAACCAGTCAACTTGGTCAGCTGAAAGCGCATTGAGAGACAGTATTTTATTCTGGAGTGGGATAAGTATTCATATTAATTGTACACCAGAGGTTACTACATCTGAAATGGAATGACCACGTCAACTATATATCGAAAACACTGCAAATATTATTGCCAAAATCTGAAACAACATATATGAATCATTTGGAGATACTGTACTTTACCATAGTTCAGGCATAACTGGAATACTAGGATGGTACAGAACAACAAAATTGCAAGATATTGAAAAATATTTTCTGAAAATATATAACAAAGATTATACATACTCCTGTAACTTTCACATAGATTGAAAAAAAGTAGATGTGGATCAGATTTTTTTGGGACATTATTTCGAACACATTCAAAAGTAGAAATAAAATTTGATTCCCTAGTCATATGTACAAGAAATGAAACAAAATCACGAAGATGTAAATATAATTAATCAATAGGCAAAACAATTATGAATATTCACTTTATCTTTTATATGATATAAATTTACAAATAACACAAGTTTTTTAAAGAAAGCTGTTTTTAAAAAATAGTAGATTGAAACACCTAGACATACACAAAAATATTATTATTACCTTTACAAGTTGTTCACTTCATCAGGTTGTATTTGTTTATCGTTAAAGTAGATTGAAATAACAGTTTTCATGTATTATTTTATTATTACATTTCAATTCTGTTCACTTTTTCACAAAATGAATGTCTGAACCTCAAATATTGAATATCATTTTCAACATTGTTGCTGTTGTATCAATAAATACTTTTTTTTTTGCAAAACACTTTTAAAATGTTATACTTGAACCTTCTTTCATTTAAAATTTCTAGAGTAATTAACAACTCTTGCGTTAAATCACAAATGCTGCAAATATCCCTATACAAAATAATTAATTCAACTGAGCATTTTTCTTTCTTTAGGGAGACAATAATGTCTGAAATCAAAATGGTTATGGAAAACCATGGAATGAGTGTTGATTACAGGCACATAATGTTATTAGCAGCACAAATGACACATGTTGGCGAAGTACTAGGAATTACAAGACAAGGGCTAGCAAAAATGAAACAGTCTGTCCTCAATTTAGCTTCGGTAACTTCTCCAATTAAACTCATTATATTCAAAACTTAAATTTGATTTTCCTTTTCAGTTCGAGAAGACAGCAGATCATTTATTTGATGCAGCCTACCATGGACAAACAGATAAAATGAGTGGTGTTTCTGAAAACATCATAATGGGTATGCAAGCTCCTATTGGAACAGGAATATTCAAATTACTCCATAAACCACTTCACGTAGAACCAAATCCTGAGCCACAATGTCTTCTGTTCGAAAATGTGATACAGGAAAATTTGTAATTTTAAATGTTTATTCTTGTTAAGATATATAAGTTATATAGAATTATGTGACAAAATAAAAAATAAAAACTGCTTCAAGGTTATTTTTTAGATTGTACTAATTCTCTTAAACTATCTGTTGCTTCTTTTAGAGAATTTTCGAGGAAAGTTTTGTTGCTTTCCAACACTTTAATTTTGTCTTCTGCTACATTTTGCTTAGTCTTCAAATTTTCCTTTACTTTTTCAATGGGAGTTAGAAAAAACATTCTTCCTACAGATTCATATGTGTTTGTGCCTTCTTCAATAGCATTGATTTCCCTGAAATAATGGAGGATATTATAAATTGATAAAAAATCCATACGAATTCCATACCTCTCTGTAATTGATGCATGCTGTTTACTCCTTTTCAAATTTTCTATTTGTATGTCTGCCATCCTTAATTTTTGTGTAGTTTCTAATTGTTTTTCTTGTAACTCAGCGAAAGCCTATGATAAAATGATTGAAAAAAGGTATCATATCTTTAAAAACATACCCTACTTTTTTCAACTCCATATCCACTTTAGACATCTTGAATTTTTGAATGATATTTCACTATTCAATGAAACATTCCATCTAACTTTCTAACCAAAATTGGATTGACATATGACACATGAAAAGTTGGGGAACCTGAGAGTAATAATAAGACATAGAGTTGCCATGCCTATACCAATACGTGTATTTTGAAACGGGTATCGTACTATCCTTTTCTGTACAGCTTATTTGCAAGGGGGGGTGGCGGGTAATGAGGAGTTATGGAGAGTGTGTTTACATTTGAAGTAAGTTGGACCATAAAACAGTGGCGATTAGTTTAGTTGATAATCAGAGGGATAGTAGTAGTAATTATTAACCATATTGAATACACTCAGTACTATACAAAAGGAGAAACCATATATAATATACTGTGATGAGAAAGAAATTTCACTGAAGAATATTATATCAGCTGCTACGGATGGCGCTCCGGCTATGACAGGACGTCACAAAGACTTCATAGCGTACTTAAAAAAAAATCCAGATGTACTTGCTGTACATTGCGTCATTCATAGGCAACATTTTGTTGTGAAAAATTTGAGTGAGCGCCTCTCTCAATCACTGCAATATATCATCAAAGTAGCTAATACAATCCGAAACAGCTCTTCAAATGAGAGATGATTTAATCAGCTTTGTGTTGCTAACGATGAGGATTTCAACCGATTGCTATTTTACACAGAAGTGCGTTGTTATCAAGAGGTAACTGTCTGACTCGATTTTACAATCTATTTGACTATGTAATAGAATTCTTGGAAAACAAAGACAGATAATTGCATGACAACCTCATCACTTCAAAGAATGATATTGCGTACTTGACAGACCTGTATAAATTATTTAATGATGTCAATCTCCAACTTCAAGGTGACGACTTGAATTTGATTAAGACACAAAATGTCACTTCCGCAGTGACTGAGTCTGCAACTGAGTACTCTGAGGTTGCAGATTACCGAACGCGGTGACTTACGGCTGTTTTTGAGTAAATTCGAGCCTGATATTAACAAAATTGTTAAAAGTCATCAAATTCGTCCTTCACGTTAGATTAGTTTTAGAATTCAAATTTAAATGCTTGTTTTGATAACATGAATAAAAGTTTTCCCAATATTACAAAATGGTGTTTTACATTACAGTCATCAGAAAGTCTTATTTTCACATGACATACATAATTTAATTATTAAAATAATGTCTGCGATTGTGGTTCTTAAGATGTAGTGTAGTAAAAAAATTTGGGGGCGCTAGAAAATAATTAATTCTCGATGTGGGCGGTAGACAAAATAAGTTTGAGAACCTCTGGTATAAAGGATTTTAATCTACGGGCAAATAGGACATATGCAAAACCTTCGTCAGAAATAGGATCCATAATAACTATGGTTCTATCTTATGAACAAAGTGGGGAAGAGGCATTCCGTGTATGAGAATTTGAACAAAAACAGATATAAGTAATAAGCCTGATACCCTAATAGAAACTTAATATTCGAAATATTCATCTCATCTCCCAACATACCTACTACACAGAAAATTGTTTTCTAATAGCATTTGTCAGTTCCTAATGTTTATTTGTTTATTAGTACGTATAGTACATAAAATGAGATACATATTATGTATTTCTTCTTGACTCCCAGCAGGAATTATTTGAAGTAAATGAAATTTCAGTTTTATATTTTATTGTCATTTTTATTAATTCCATTTGGAAATAGTTGACTTGAATGAATGTCATATTGAATAGATTACCGATATTTTTACGATATATATCACAGTTTACAATATATTCGACAAAAGTGTAGCCAATTTGATTTGGAATGGCCCTTTTTTTCCAAGTGAAATATGAATTCAACTTATGGGTAATATTAAAGCCATGTATGAACCACTTTTACGCTGCATTCATTAAGGTGCTTTCAGCTTTTTTGTTCGAGACACGGCCACTCTTAAGTCCTCGTCGACACAGAATATTAGAACTCGACTTATCCGTGACATGTGTCAATTGTTATGATCGGTTTCTCTTTTTTCTTTTCTTTCCTCTTTGTATTTTCCTCATGGCAGTTCTTTGAGTAGCTGACGTTTCTTGTTGGATATTACAAAACTAGAAAAAGGTCAGAACTTTTCGAAATGACAATACAAATTGGCTCAATTTATATAATATAAACTTATAACTTAACGTTTGAAAAAACTTGACATTTTTAGGTTATATTCCAACATATTGGTGACTTTTTGTTTATAGAAAATGTCCAAAAGAAAAGCTCTCGAGGAGTCGGATAAGCTGACACGAATAGCTATAGTTAATGCAGATAAGTGTAAGCCTAAAAGATGCAGACAAGAATGCAAAAAATCCTGTCCTGTGGTTCGAATGGGAAAACTTTGTATTGAGGTATCTCCTAATAGCAAAATCGCTTCTATATCTGAAGAACTCTGCATTGGTTGTGGTATTTGTGTGAAGGTATATCTACATTACTCACAATGTTCTCCCTTCAATAGTATCTGTTTTAGAAATGTCCTTTTGAGGCCATCAATATTATAAATTTGCCAAGCAATTTGCAGAAGGAAACAACTCATAGATATGGCAAGAATTCCTTCAAACTTCATAGATTACCCATTCCACGTCCAGGAGAAGTACTAGGACTTGTAGGTACAAATGGTATAGGTAAATCAACTGCTTTAAAAATACTCGCTGGCAAGCAAAAACCTAACTTGGGTAAATATATGGTAAGATATGTTTTTTTTTTGTTTTAATGACATTATAGTATATGTATTTTACTACAGGACCCACCTGACTGGACTGAGATTCTAAGTCATTTCAGAGGAAGTGAACTACAAAACTATTTCACGAAAATTTTAGAGGATGATTTAAAAGCATTGATAAAACCTCAGTATGTTGATCAAATACCAAAAGCTATCAAAGGTACTGTTGGCCAGCTCCTTGATAGAAAAAATGAGCGAGAAAATGTAGAAGAAATTTGTCAAATGTTGGGTAAAGTTGTTTATTTGGGATCAAGAGCTCTTTGCACAGGTATAATTTTATTTTAGACCTTTCTAATATAAAGGAGAGAGAAATTGGTGCTTTATCTGGAGGAGAATTGCAGAGATTTGCATGTGCTATGGTTTGCATTCAAAATGGAGATATTTTCATGTTTGATGAACCATCTTCGTACTTGGATGTTAAACAACGTTTGAAAGCTGCCAGAACAATTCGTTCCCTTTTACATCCCAGCAAGTAGGTTTGACAATTTAGTTGGAAAAACTGATACTATTAATATTTTCCATTCCAGATTCATAATTGTTGTCGAACATGATCTGAGTGTACTTGATTACCTTTCTGATTTTATTTGTTGTCTTTATGGTGTTCCTGGTGCCTATGGAGTAGTTACCATGCCTTTCTCAGTACGTGAAGGTAAAGCTAGAATACTTTTTCATGAAGAAGTAATCTTAATTTTTTTTCAACAGGTATCAACATTTTTCTTGACGGTTTTGTACCAACAGAAAATTTGCGTTTCCGTGATGAATCCTTAGTTTTCAAAGTGGCGGAGTCTGCTACTGAAGAAGAGGTGAAACGAATGAATCATTATGAGTATCCCGCTATGGTAAAGACTATGGGTAACTTCCAGCTCACTGTTGTTAAGGGACAGTTTTCAGATTCAGAAATTCTTGTTTTACTTGGCGAAAATGGCACAGGAAAAACTACGTTCATAAGAATGTTGGCTGGCAATTTAGAAGCTGATAGTGGTTCAGGTAATTTGATTTATCTAACATTAAAACAAGTCGATTGGTACATTCAATTCTATTTGGATTTCTTCAATGTCTCATATCATGTGACACATTTACACATTCTGATAGATATATGTGCCACTTCAGTGTGTACACATTTCAACTTGACAGTTTCAGTCTGCAGGTTTTTCAAATTATATATTGTAAGTAAATCAAGAGTCCCTTCAATAAGAATTATTCATATATATACTACTAGGTACAAACAATATGACGGTCCATATGCTGCTGACTTATACAAGAACTTATACAGGGTGTTTCCTAAATATGGTACGAAATTTCAGATGATAATTTGTTAGGACGTTTTGAGAAAAAAAGGTTTTATAAACTTATTTCTGAGATGAAAGGTTGAAGTATAAAAAAACATTGTTTATGGAACATAAATATCTTCAACACACACGTTCATTGCTATATATTTTCCACAACTTCACGGAGGGATGTACTGGTGCGCCATGCATGCTTTACATCCACTGTGGACATGACGCACTTTTCACAAGTCAACAAACAAGAAAACAAAAATAGACCTAACTGAAGTAAAACAGTATTTCATTAACAAAAACTTAGGGATAACACGAAAACACTATAAAAACTAATGTGTATTCTGTATTCTTTTGTTCAAAATGACTTCCAACGCATAATCGTGGTGCATCAGGACATTTTGTACAATAGTGTGCATTATCTTTTCTAATTTTATTTCTGCAACAAATTTTTCGTAGTTTTCGCATAATCCTTCCGTTTTTATTTCTAGTTTCATTTTTCTTTGGTAAGTGAATCATAGTTGGTGTGCAGGTTTAGGATTGTCCGAAGACGATTCCACATTACTAGGGATGTAAGAACCCTCACTGTCACAATCATCAGATTCGAAATCAGTATTTTCAAGAATAATAAATAGTTTTCTTGTGTATTTTATTTTTCAATTTGAATTTTATGCTTTTTCAACCTAGGGTACTTGTGTCAAACGTCATGATTGACTTTAAAAAATTAAATAACGAATAACATCATTTTCAAACTAACCTTTCTATACATTCTCAGTTCTCTCTCAATAACTGCTGAAATATTTCTGCTGGTTATATTTAACAGCATGGAAAATACATCAAGGCCTTGGGCTCAAGGATTGAATATGAAGTTTTTAGGGGTACACGTTGATAAAGAACTAAATTTTCAATTTCATGTTAGACAGTTAGGATAAATGATTACCTCGGGATGTTATGCACTATGTTAGTAATCACATATTAAAAGGTAAGACCTCGTTAGCCCTTAGCTCGCACAAGTTTTGACTTCTGAGGGTTGTCATTCTTAGGTGTGCGACAGCTGGTTAACGGAAAACATATTTTAAAACATATATAGCTGCAAACGAATTAGGTACAGGAACCTGCAAAGAAAAAATAAGAAAACTACCAATTCTAAAAACAAATTTAATCAAAAAGTCATGCATTTATATTACTGCTGAAAGAATAATCATCTGCACACACAGAAATTAAACACACTGAAATTTATACTGTGTTTATAATAAATCTGAAAAAATACTTTCTGGATCTGAAGTTGTATTGTAATCCGGAATATTTTGAGACAGTATAACTCACCACAGTAGTTTTCATATCATTATTGTCATGTGTTTTATTTATTTTATAATCTACTAGATTAATTATATTTATTGTTATGTATTTTATTGAATTTATATCAAGTGAATCATAGTATATAAAGGTATATGTACGTTTATACTTTGTCAATAAAATATTTATGCCTTCAGACAATGAAGTATATTTTGAATTGGATTGAAATAAACATGATTTGAATACCAGGAGTATGAACACAACTTCTATAAAATCACTAGAAGGGGAAAGATGGTGAGTTTATTGATCAATTAACATTCAAACAATCTCTGCCTGAACTGAGTGAATCAAGTATGTTGTCAACCTTATTATGGCTCTGAAGAGAAGACTGCAAAAAAGCTCGATCTACAAAGAGTTCATGAAAGACTATTGTAGGATAGGATATATCTCGGAGTGTGAAGGATCAGTAGGTGAAACATCCTTCCACTCACTTCATCATGAAATACTCAATGACAGTAGCTCAACTACAAAACTTTGAGAGTAGTGTTCAATGATTCTTCGAAAACATCAAAAATATGACTTTTTATGGTTTTATTGAGGTTCAGTAAACATTCAGTGGTGGTCTGCACGGATATTGCTAAGATATACCGCAGAGAGGTGATGCAGAGCATAGTTTTCCAAAAAATAGTTTGGAGATCTGATCATTTTGATGAATTGAATGAGTTTACTCCAAATACTGTAACATAAGGTACGCGATCAGCCCCATTTCTAGAGATATGATGCTCAACACAACTGGGCATTGATATTTTTTTTTATTTGCATCAGCCACTGAGATTATTTAAACACACATTTATGTTGATGACATGTTAACTGGTACGGAATCTGCAGAGACTGCTTTTAGCGTATGATCGTTTTTTTTTTGTCATTAGGAATGGTGGAATGGACTTATAAAATGTGTCCCTTGTTGGTGACAATGTTCATTTTGGAGTAGAGGATCAAAATAAAATTTTGGGTTCATATTGGTCGTTCAAACAGGATGTTTTTCAAATTTTCAATAGATTTTCCAAGAAACAAAATAGCTTACAAAACAAACAATACTATCCAGCATTTTTTAGAAACTGTATTGACGAATCTTATCCTCTCAAACTTATTTTATAAATTGTATTAACGTGTCTAAAAACTGTGTGTTTTTCTCTAGGACAAATGGGTCATTTGTTGACTTCGTTCACCCTCTTTATATCTGTTGGTTTATTTTTTTGTGGTTATTTTGAAGACATTGTTCACAACACCAACAGACACATTCAAAGACTCGGAGAAAATAATATTTTCGTTTTATTCATTCTTCACAGAGGTTTCAATTTCACCTATTAACCATATAACTGGTTGAACACTATATTCGACCTAATTTCAAATTTTAAATCTCCATTGCATATGGTGTTCTACAAAGTAGGTTTCAAAACACGTGTTAGATTCGCTAAATAACAATTTTTCAGAGCAATACTCAACAATTAGACCCAATAGAGTCGGTTGCTTTCAGAGTTGCAAGAGATGTGTTTTCATTTTAACAAATATACTTATGACATAACTATTCCTACATTTAAAACGTTTTTTACATTTCATTTTGTATACCTTTTACATCTCAACAAATATCCTCTATTCTTGTTGACATCTGTATTTCATTGTAAATATGATTATTTTGTGTATTTCATCTTTCTCTTTTTACTTCAGTTCATTGCCGATGTGATGAAACCTTTGAAAATCGAGGACATCATCGATCAAGAAGTTCAAAACTTGTCGGGAGGAGAATTGCAAAGAGTTGCCATGACACTTTGTTTGGGAAAGCCTGCAGATGTCTATCTTATCGACGAACCTAGTGCTTACCTTGATTCTGAGCAACGTTTAGTCGCAGCTAAAGTGATAAAAAGGTGAGAACTGTAGAAAAAAGGTTCAGCCCATAATGGAAATATATTCTACTATATTTAAAGTAGTAAAATTATTAATTTTTGGATGCACATGTTTGTGAAATAAAAATCAAAGACTAATGTATAAAAGCAATTCTATTCTTTAAAAAAATCACTATGTGGTTACTGAAATTGTATTTTTTTCCAGATTTATTATTCATGCCAAGAAGACTGGTTTTGTAGTAGAGCACGATTTTATCATGGCAACATACTTAGCAGATCGTGTTATTGTATTTGAAGGTTCACCATCTCTGAAGACCACTGCACATGCTCCTCAAACCCTTTTAGCTGGTATGAATCGGTTTTTGGAGTTGCTGGGTATCACTTTCAGACGCGATCCTAATAACTTCCGACCTAGGATCAATAAACTGGAATCTGTGAAAGATTGTGAGCAGAAGAGAGCTGGACAGTATTTCTTTTTGGAAGATTGAACTGCTTTGTATCAGTGTTGAAACAGTACACCAGAAAATTTTCCAGTTCTGATTATATATTTTATTCATATGTATGATCTGGAAAATAAAAGAAATACCCTAATTTCAATATATTCTTTTACTTTTGATTGGTCTGTAGCCGGTCGGTTCGACGTGGGTGCTTTGTTCACTCACTCAATTGATTGCCGTGTTAGTCGGTGGCTCAAGCTGCAGGCTGAACGATCTATTTTCATTTGCTATCCACCAACCCATGTTAGGAGTCACACGTTAAAAGGTAAGACCTCATTAGTCCTTAGCTCGCACAAGTTTCGACTTCTGAGGGTTGTCGTTCGTAGGGGTGCGACAGCTGGTTAACGGAGAAACATATTTTAAACATGGTTAGAATTAGTGTTGGATGTAGTAAGCCATAAAATTCAACCGAATTGATTTGTACTGGTCCTTGCTGAATCATATACCATCAACTTTTCAGATATAATTATTGAGGTTTTTACTGTTTGTATTGCCTCACTGGTAATGTATTGTATGATTGATATTATATGATATGATGTATTGTATGATTGTATGTAATATATAGTATGATTTGTGACAATCTCTAATTACCTCACTTTCTACTGGTAAATTGAATTTTGATCATTACCTTCATTTTATTGCAAGAATAAAAATTTATAAAGGGTTCAGATGATATCATATAATCAGGTACTTACCATAAATTTCTCGAATCTTTGAAAAATTCGTCATCATGTGATTGCGACACTCAATTTTTTGTATCAGAAGTGTTCCATAAGGTCGAGCTTCCAGAAGTTTTTGATGAATACTGCTATCTCCAATCAACTTGTGGAATTTCAAACCATGCATTTTGATGCTCAGTTTGGAACCCTCAAGAGATCGTATTCCATACTGGTTGATGATGAAAGTTGGACGAAAGATATCAAATTGTTGATCTGGGAAACACCAAGAGTGAAAAGAGAAAATATTAAGAGGAGTGCCACAAGGGTCAATGATGATGATCCATACTAAACTTTGCGTAAATCGAGATATCAAAGATTCTATCAAACCATATAAAAAACCTGTGTAGTAAACTCAGTAAGACAGTTTAAAAAAAAACAGTAAATCAAAGTGCGGCACTTGCAACATATTCACTTTTTCATTGTCTTTAGGTATGGCATAATAAACTGGAGGCATGTCTTCATAGAATATTTGTCATTCAAAAATCTGCAGTAAGAAGTATAGTCTCTGGCAATTATGATGAAAAGTGTCGACCAATATTTGTAAAATTTGAAATAATGAGCCTATATACAGTTATTGTTTATAAAAATCTATTTCTTGTTCAATAGAACTTGGTTAATAAAGTTGCTCACAAGGATATACACCAACATGATACAAGAAATAAATCAAACCTTGTTCCTATAGCTAATAGGTTGAAAACAACAAATAATATGGGAATTAAGCTATACAATGCCTTATCTGTCGAATTTCGTAACTTGCCATTCAGAAGATTCAAAAACTTTTTGAAAAAAAAATTAATCAACCATCCATTGAACCTGATCAATTTTTCGAAGTTATTCAGGAAGAAAGAGGCACTTTTGTGATCACCTACTGAACTTATACTTATCTTTGAATAGATATATGTCAGTTGTGATTTATAATTTGTAAAATACATTGATGGATGTAGCCGTTACTATTTTTATTTGTAACTTACGTTGTACTACAGTTTCGTCCTATAAAGATATTTTCAAACTTAAACATTAAAATGGAGTTTAATGTTTAGAAAAAGACAATATGATGTACCCACCCTCATTTATTGGAAGATTTTAAATTTTCCCAAGTGAGTAAAGGAGGAATTCATTCAGGAAGAATTTGAAAAAAAATTTGGTGAAACAAAGGAGAGATTGGAAAAAGTAGTCGATGAGAAGTTTGATGGGGTTGACAGGAAACTTGAAGACACTCCTTTATGGACAGCTCTGATAGGGAGCGAGAGATTATCGTGGCGCAGAAGGAGGATCCGGTCCTGAAAACTGTACGAGGATGGATTGACAAAGGAATGAGGCTGAAATGGCAACGCAAGAGATCTCCAAGTACGGCGAGCAGAAAAAAGGTTACTGGCTCCAATGAGACTTCATGTGCATTCGAGATGGCCTACTCACTCGGAAATGGGTGAACCCACGAGGAAAAGCGTAACAATATTATCCAATGGCTGTAGGCGATGTAAATTCATGACTTTCTAGCAGTAATTTTTTGAATTCTTGCCAGGAACCTTTTGATGTTTAGTTTATGTTGCTAGACTACCAAAAAGGAAAAACCATATGTCAGTTGCGTAGATGGCAATTTGAAAGAATATTTATATACCGAAGTAGACAATAAAGTTTTGAATAGAGGATTCCAGGATATGCAGTTATTTAGAGGTGAATACTATGAATGTAAATGTAAAGCTTGTTTCAAGAAACTGGATGACTAACAAATAAGGAAGTTGTTCGATAGAAAGAGGAAAAAAATCATTTACCAGAGAGTTACTTGAGTGAGTTCGAAAGAAATATCAAGAACTTGATTGGTTTTTAGGGTCAATGTAAAAAATCAAGTGGATGAAGACATAGACGCCGAGGAGTATTTTCAATATTTGCTTTAATCCTTCTGGATCATTCTATCTTATTGTCATCGACCAACTGAAAGCAAGGTTCATCAAGGATATACTATTCATAGAGATATACGTAGGGAGCTTTTCAAATTAGTCTTAAGACGAGCAATGGAAAAGAAAACATGTAGGTATGTCACTTTCCAGTTTATACAATAAATTAGAAAGACAATTTAAGGGATGGACAGACGACTCAATCCACGAATGTCAAAGATAAAAGAGGCTCCTCAAGGCGGGTCGTTGCAAAGCCAAGCTTCGACATCAACCAGGAAATTTTCCCAAAGGAAAAGGAAATTAGACTTTCCTTTTGGGTTCAGTTGAGTGTCATCACATCAGTGATGACATCTCTTCGACTTGAAACAGTGCTGTTGTTGGATCACGAGTTCATCTAGTTGCGTTTTAGTGTAAGCTGCAGTGATAGACAGAGGACGAATCTCGGTCAGCAGGCGATCTCAAAACTTGGCTTTGCGACGGATCAACGATCAAAAATAAACAAGAGGAGCTTTGTTTATTTTTGATTTTCGTGGATATAATCCAACACCCTTCGTGGTATTAGCCAGAGGAGTAGTTGTTTTCTGATAGGCGTCAGTCCATTCAACCTATTGTGTAGGTATATTCGAGACTGGATTGAACGTTTAAAGTTCATTTCTTTAGATTTATTTACTTTTTTGCTTGTCTCTCAAGGAAAGTTTAGTAGTTCAGCCACCACTCATGAGATCTTGGCGGGTTGAAATAGCGTTGTCTGGAGTTAGATCACGAGTTCTTCTATGTGATTTCTGTATCGTTAATGCTGACCCATCGTGGTTGATGCATTTTTTCTTCAATGAAATAATCATTGAAAGGTTTAGTTCCAAATTTTGTAGGTAGGTACACCTTTTGCTCCATTGTTAATAGGTAGAATACACTGCGGTGCAGCATTTGTAATTGTACGAGGCAGGTTCGTTAAATCTCAGCGATAGCACAAAATGCTGGATTGTTTTATTCACTTATGCTCTACGCATAGCATTCGGAACTGTCAAAACCACTCTCCATAGAATTATTCATAATGAGTCTCCGAAGGTTTGTTGCCAGAAGAGAAAGGTTTTCTAAAATTTATTCCGATATGACGAATGATTTAATCAAAAACATTCACTAGCAGAAACTTTTGGAATTATTACCTGTAAAGGTCTGTGAGCAAACGCCGCACCCATCATGCAAACAGCTTTCTCCTGTCTAAATTTTCAGATAATATACGATGTACCGCACTTTTTAAAATGCCTACTAAGTCTGCTAGCTGGCACACTTACAGTCGACGGTCATTTAGTACACCTCATTTGGTCGACCACTGATGTTCGTGTTGACAGCTCATACGGCCTCGTTTAAACTCTGCTACCCAATATTTTACTGTTGTAAACGAAGGCGTAGACTTACCCAGAGTAGAATCCAGCTCAGCTTGTATATTGGTTGGGCTGAGGTCTTTCAAATAAAAGTATAGTACCACATAACGATGACAAATTTTCTCCATTTTCACAAATTCACCGAAAACGTTCGCTATTGATGACTGTTAAACAAATACTAAACAACGCAGCGCCTTCAAACTTGAAACATATGCTTTATAGATTGTGTACTTTCTAATATTTTCCAAACAACTAGCGCCATCTCTAAGTCTAAGTCAGGTCGGGTACTTCTGAGACCATCCTCGTATTGATGAGCACTACGTCCTCTCCATAATCCTGGCCATTGCCTCGTCGTTTTTTTTAGATGGACCATTGCACTTTTATTTGTCTATTCTAAATTCCATACCGATAAAAGACTTTACTTATCGATCTCCTCTAACGACTGATATCCTTTTCTTCAGAGGCATGAATTTTGTGAACATCTACATAAAACAAATGGATAACTTTATGCCTCCAGTTTCTCGGTGTGTTACCGTTGAATCTAAGATAATGGCAATAGTGAGATGCAGAAATGATGGGGTCTGAAAGAATCATCCTGAAATATATCACTTCTGGAAGTGACTGCCTCTGTTTAGACTTCAGTCTGGCCAGATGTCATGGTGAACAGTGGTATCAGTTGTTTAAGGCATCTCACTATTTTGTCAGGTACCGCAAGGCATCCGAGCTCATGTTCAAATTGAAAGTGGTATACTTTTACGAGAGATAAGTTTTTGGGAAAGAAAGAAATGTTTATAAGAAAATAGTTGTTTGTTGTTTCAAGAAAGCTTTTTTCCAGCTGTGTGTGAAAGTTACTTCTTTGCGTGATCTACTCATCTTTGAAAAGAGTTTATTTTGAAATTAAATGTTCATTTGAAGTTAGTTATTTCGGGAGAGACTTTTCCAGTTTGTATCTGAAAATAACCTCTATGCATGATCTACATCTACACATTTGTGGAAAGAGTTTATTTTGAACCTGAATGTTGTCTTCCTTTATTCGGAAGTTTCCCATATTTTTTGTATGAAGAGGAAAAGAAGTAGAAATTCAGAAACATTCATTTTCCAATATTCGAAATAATGTCAACAATTACTCTAATCTGTTTTTTGATTCAGATACGATTTGAGGTCTAGGAAGGTAGGTACCTTATTGTTTCCGGGGTTTAACTTTAATTTTGATTATTGGGCTCTGGGCTACAGACAAATATTTTTATTTCAACAGTAAATTACGAAAAGAGTTTCATCTGAGAAGTGAATACAGTATTTAGCAATATAATTTTGAAATATCGACTATACTTATAAAAAATCAAACGAATCATCTCTCAACATAATAGGTATAGGTAATTATTGGTAGTTATAACCATTCTCGTAATGACACACCTACGAATCATATTAGGAAGTGAGTGAAATAACACTTGATACGGTACTGCTAAAATATGAAATATGATGGTGGTAGATGATTTATTTCACGAATAGCATAAATTTGAATGTTCAAAAAAGATACTAGTATTCATTTTACACAAAACTGATTAATACTGTCTCAATGTAAACACCACAGACCTTAAAACAAAACACTTTCACCGAAATGAAATATCCTGAAAAAATGTAATAAGTAGTTTCGTCTTTATCGCATAATTCGGCCTCCACATTATTTATTTTTTCAGGCTTAGTAGGTACCTATATTTTTTACTGAAGTGATATAGTTGAGGTATTCTGTATTTGGGAGGAGCGACATCCAGTAGGTCATAAAGTTGAATCTTCCTTCACTATATGCGGACGATGTTCAGTTTATCGTATTGACTTCTGAAACAAGACTGAAACATTTAAGTTTGACACCGTCCATTAAAATTGTTGTCTGCAGACAGAGCAGAGACCTCTATAGCAGTATCCTGCTGAATGGATTTCTCGCATTCTCGATTCTCGCATTCGTGGTAGATTTTTCGGTGGGTGTGACACAAGAAACAATTCCTTTTCATTTCTAATTTGTAAGTATATTTTTGTAATGATATATTTTATAGTAATACGCATTGTTAGTGTTTTATCAAAATATAATTTGGATCAAACTTCGATTGATTATCATATTATTCAGTAATGCATTTTTAGTATGTAATTGACCAGTTGGACCGCAACTTGCAGGAACCTGAGATATATTGATTTCCATTTTATTGTTCTGTTAATGTTTCTCTAGTTTGTTGAGTAATCACGAGATTCATAAATGAAATTATTTTGTAGGGTGAACGGATTACTACATATGAGGGCATGTAGAAAAGTATTTTTAAAAATAGATTCACTCGATTTGGGTATGGTTATACCGTCACTAAAGTATACAAAACTATAAATAACTCGTATCAAACGAAGTGCACGAAATATATAAACTAATTACCCATCTTTGGAAAAAATCTTTACGAATTATGACTAATAAGTATAACCATTAAGAAGATTAGTCTTCTCTGTCTATCTTGTCAGTTCTCTGAAATTGTTATTCACTAGATTGTACGGTAATAATTATTTAAAAGCATGATGTCATGCTTGTTTGTAATTCCATGGCTAAATTCACACAGCTCATGGTCTCTGATTCAGTTCATCAGTATCTGTCGTACCGGTATAAGTTTGAAAATTGCTGCAATATTTTTAATTTCAATTTTAGTAATTGTGAACTTCTCTAATTGTTCTAGTCACATCATACATCTACTGAAGCAAAATGAGTAACCAACAGTATTATCCTTTCAAAGTAAGTATTATTGATTGTTAATTTTCTAGGGATGGGCACAATATTTCCATCAGTAAACTTGACCCATTCTATTTAAATTTTTTCGTAATCTCTATTATTATTTTATTAAAATCACACGGTGGATTCTTATTGAATGCAAATGGATTGTAATAATAGGAAGTCGTAGATGAACCACACTCTATTTTTCATTTTGTATCGGCCTTTTTCACGAGTTGAATGGAAAAATAGATTATAACTATTCTAGATATTCGTAGAATAATGCCTCTCATAAGATATACCTGTCAGCTGTAACTCCTGACAGATTAGGTCAACAGGAGAGAACAAGGTTACAGCAATGAATTCACTTACGTTCCGATTTCGCTCTACTTCATTGGAGTCACAAGTCCAGGGTAGTGAAGTGGAAGACCCGTAGAAGTTTACAACCGGAATTGTCTGTTTCACCGGTATACGTTTTCGACCACAGAAAAGCCATGCCCTTTGGAGTTTGAAGTGAAGGGTTCTGGATGGAACCTCTAAAATTATTTTGAGTTTTACACTCTTACAGGGATTCGAGGCAGCTGAAGGAGCTACCGAGAATCTGAGGTTAGTTTCTGGGTCAGCGAGTTAGAACCTATTCAGAAAAAAGCCCACAACAAAATAGTGAAATCAATTTACTCCTGCGGCTATTAAGAATGTGTCAACGACAATAAAGACCTCGGTTTATTAAAACATCCCAAGTCGAAAATTGGCAACCACGAGATTCATTATTTTGAACGTAACTAAACCAAAACCAAAACTCTTTATATTCCGTTCAAATTCTACAATAGATAACAAAAAATCTATAAATATAATACAACCATTCTCCCACATGCGAGAGCAGGGTTGGGAGAAGGAAGGGGATCAGGTAATGGGGGATACTGGCAGGAGGATGACTGTTTATCTGAGCCTAACAGGATGACAAAAGAAACGCTGCCACACGGTCCCACGATTGGACAGTGGAAGGCGCGCCTGCAGGTGTTAACGAGTAGCTCTCCGTTGAGCAGATTTTCGCTTTAAGCCTCCGTCTATGACGTCTCGCTTCCTGCTGAATCTCACGTGAGAGATTTCCTTTTGGTGCAATTTTGATATTGCTGAATCTCATTTTTACCTATGTAAGCCAATAATAGTTGTCCGGAAGCTCCTGGAAATAGTTCATGAAAAAACCAGGTAATGTATTCTAAAAACACTTTATTGTGTGATTTTCACTAGATAGTTTTACAAAAACACAATACGTGTTTCGCCATATAATGGCTTCCTCAGGCGTGTCTTGATCATTATTATACGCCCGAGGAAGCCATTGTATGGCGAAACACTGTTGCGTTTTCGTAAAACTGTCTAGTGAAAATCACACAATAAAGTGTTTTTAGAATAGGTACGTTAGTTATGGATTTTCATCAAGTATCGGCCGATTCCATCATATATCAAAAACCAGGTAATCATTTTGAAACGGACATATCTGGGTTTTCACTCTCCTAAAATTTGCCAATAAAATTAATGGAACAAGATTCATTCAACTTGTTAGCAATACTTTTTTCTTTACCTAACACTAAACATCCATAAAATAATTGAAATGGGAATATAATTCAAGGCATATTGATTAATTGAAGAAACATAATATGAAATGTCAGGTATAACAATTTGTCAGCTGTAACGAATCATCTATTTTGTCGACAGAATCATTTTCACAATTCCATTTTTATTAACAACCGTTGATTATTTTTTTTAATGATATTGCAAAAATGGAAAGACAAAAAAGATTATTATCCATCGGGATTGGTCTTTGGAATGAATGAGAACATCACATTCTCTGTAAATATCGGAGCAGTCATACAAAGGACCTGCCTGTAAAATTTTTCTGAGTGCTCTGGTAGAACTTTTTAAGTTTTCAGTTTCATTCGGTCATTTTACTTCAAAGAGGAACACGGAAATTCCATTTCACCACCAATTGTGGTGAAATGGAAACAGCTATTCAGTGCCAATTTTTCGGGACTACTAATTTTCACAAAGGTTCTCGTTTATTATTCACTTTCTATTCAATTTATATTTTGAATATTTGCATGAATCTTGAGCCAAATCAGTGTGTCATTCATGTCGTAAATCTCAAATGTTTTTATACACAAATATGTAAAACTTTTTTTATATTTATTTTTTTTTTATATTTCCAAAATCTGCTGAATAAAACGCTTCTGTAAGTAATTATGCAAGGAATTTTCTTGATATACTATATTATATTTCCGAGTACTTAGAAGAAACTTTATTGTATTGTTAGTGTTCCATCAATTTTTAGATTCTGTCTGCATATTTATACAAAAGTTTAGGTTGAAATTAGTATTGAAAAATAACTGCATTTGATAATGCTCTTCAGAAAATTTATATCAATTATATGTTCCTCTAATTCAGTATTGAAAATCAGCATTTATCTGTTTTGTTCTTCACTTAGTGTGCATTTTGATGAATAACTTTTCAGATTTGTAGCCTCCTTTGATTCCGGTTTTGGGTGGAACTTGATTCTATGATTTTGTTTCCCCATGTAGTATTTCAAATAAAACAAAATGTTTGAACCATGCATATGGTAAGTGGTCACCATTTGCATTAAAAATATTCGATTTAATAAGTCTTTGAATATTCCTTGGTTTATTCTAGATTAATATTTCTGTTATTATACAAATACAGTATTAGATAATCTAAAAGAACAATTATTTATTTTGGTGATGGAAACATGTTATTGTTCGTCATATTGTGGGGAAAATTAGGTATATGATGAGTATTTTCTGAAAACCATATTGGGTGACCTGAAAACAATAATGGTTACTGGTTTAACGAAATAGAGAGCATATTTAAACATGGAAGACAGATTGGGATGATGAATTCAGATCTTTTGATTCTGCCTCAACTGATAGGAACTGTCTATTTTGTGAAGTAGTTTAAAATCCTTATCGAGTTTCAAATATATATATCTTCGATAATAACTTCCGAGTGTTAGTGCTTTTATGTTGTGATCACCTAGTTTGTTTCAAATAAAAATAAATAGTTCATTTACGTTCATTGAACTCTAGTTTGTTACCACTGAAAGAACTATCTGAATTTTCTTTTTATTTGTTTTAAAGATATAAGTGGTTGATTTAAATGTCATTCATCAATATCAAAACAAGTAATTTGCTAATTTTTTGTACCTTATCCAATTCTTATGGATTTTTAAGTAATTGGAGGCTGACGAACGGTAAAAATTTATATGCAAAGACCAAATGACGAGATTTCATGTAGCAATTCTATCATTACGACTTACATTTTTACGTGGGAACAAACAAAAAGTTTTCACTGAAAAGCAGAATTATCATATCTGTTCCATTTTATTTGGGGTAGTAATATATTATTCTAATTTCAATAACAAAAACTATTTATCTTGTAGAATTTCATTATTGATCTGTTAGAATGTACTTATAGAAAATCAAATTTTAAATAATTTAAGAGTTTTCTCGAAACTGAAAGAAACCAGAAATATTTACAAATCCCAAATGGAACCTTTTTTCATGGGAGCACTGTTTACTGTGTACACATAAAATTAAACCTATTTTATAGTCAACATTTTTGTCTGCTTACTCATACATGTTAATAACTAACGTAATTTGTCTGTAAATATTATAAATTATTACATATATATTCGTGAATATAAACATACTTAGTCGCTTGTCAACTTGATACTTGATAAATATGAAAATGGCAAAGTTTTACTGGGCGGAATTTAAACGAGCTGGGATAGTTATTAGGACTTCTCCAACTTCAATTGAAACTTGTTACCAAGAAGATACAAACAGGGTTCATAAATTTTAGAGTTTGAAAGAAAGTCAGTGCAGCATGCCAAAAACTAAAAAATAAATATAAAATGTGTAAAGTGGAAGTGCACATAACGAAATAACTTATGAATATGACTTCGATAAACATCATGTGACATCATGAAAATGATGTCACAAAAATTCAATGATTATGCTATCCAATGACATCACATTGGTTAACCATAATAGTACATATTTTGTTTTTGTGTTTTGCGATTTGAGAAAAGTATCATTTTTATATTGTCCTCTCCAGAGGGTTGTTGACGGAAACTCTTCGTAATTAACTTCGTCATCCTATTTTTTATTGGAAACTCAAAGATTAGTGATGGATGCTGAAAGAGAACTTTATACTAGAAAAATGAAGTTATGCAGTAGGTATTTACATTTTGAAAAATGACTTTGGAGATGTTCGTTTCTATGAGAAAGTACACAATTTTGTACCCAAACCTTATATTATCTTCGGAAATGGTACCCGCTCCATTTTTACTTTTATGTTCAATTTTCTTGCGTTTCTGTCTTAATTGCGTTTTGGGGACTTCATTTTCCTGGATATTTTATCCGCATTTGTTTTGACAATTCATCGTGTTTGATATTTCTATTCCTGTATTCTTTGCAATTGATGTCCCAAAATGCGGGAGCAGCTTTAAACATTTCAATTAGCTCTATCAGCAGCTCTCTGGTCCATATCGTGTTTGCTGCTGAATAGAATAACAATGAACCACATTCTAAAGTTTTTTCAATAATAAAAATATTCACAATGCCAAGGATTAACGAGGTCTTACCTTTTAACCTGTGATTATCGAACACGGAATACTGATAATAATCAAATAAATTGATTCATTGATTGATGATTTTTGATAGGAAGCTTTGTTTTGAAGAAACGGAGCGGAAAAGAATTTCCACAATAACAATTTATTACCAAAAATTACATGTAATTTTTCTTAATCTACAAGAACTGTTGAAAATGACTACCCTCCGCTCGGATGCAAGAATCCAATCTTCTCCTCATCGACTCCCGAACTTTTTTAAAAACACTAGGATCATTTCTGATTGCGTTACACCCAGCAATTATACGATTTCACAAATCTTCCACATCTTCCACTGGAGTAGTATGAACTAATGACTTTGGATTTTTTATTACTTGGTAGG